GCACCCCTCCCACCGCCCCAAGTACATTCCACTATGCAACCTTAATTGTGGACTCTTGTGATAACTATAATACCCTATCCTCTATTGAATCTTTATTGTGTGTATCTAAACTCTATGTGTACATCATTCTCAGTCATTGTAAAAGCCCTGCAAGGTGATTGTTTTACAAGATGAAGAAGTGGAGGCTGAGAAAGGTTAAAAAAATGAAAATGACAAAGGAAGAAAAAACAGGAGCCCAAGCCAGTGATTTCAGATGTAGAATTTGTGAAACTGATAATAGGTAATCATTGTGACCCATATTCATATCTTCAAACTTTTAGAAGAGAATGAAGTGAACTGTCAGTTTTCCCCCTTGAAGCATACTGGGACTGCTGCAGTAATATATTTACCCTAAGAATCTGGAATAGTAAACCAACATCTAAAATATAGCTATTTCTAATAGTTAAAGAAATAGGAAGGAAAATATTAACAAGCGCCACTTTTTACTAAATGAGCATACACACACAAAAGGACCCCGTAATCCTTGGTGCTGGGAAAATAGTTATATATTAGTTGGTGACTTTGGAAATTGATTTAACATTTTAATGTTATAAATGATGTCCAAATTGCGGTTACACATCTTGCCAATAACTTTAAGTGTGAAAACCATTCCAAGGAGACTAAAGACATCCACTTCTGACACCAAATTGGCGGTGTTATGTGCCATTGAGTCAGAAAGACTCATAGCTGACCTTTGGGCCGGTTTCAGAGGGCTATAAATCACTTGGGAGGAAATTGCCCATCTTTCTCCTATGGAGCAGCTGATAGAGTTAAACCACCTGCCTTTGGGTTGTCTGTACAACTTCCTAACTATTAGGCCACCAGAGCTCCAAATTGGCATGACCATAGCAGATTACATAAGGTCAGCATCAGTCCTCCAGCTGCTCCCTCATGAGCTCTCCAGCCCCCACTCATTAGCATCAAATGTTGGTCCAATTCTCAGTCACTAAGAACAAAGATCAAATGGCTTTCTGCAAAGTGATTCTGCCCCTTGAAGGGGTAGAAAAAAAGAAAATTAATGCTACAAAAAGTGGTCTGATATTGTATTCCTATTAATTTAATTTGCAAAAATTTAAAAGTAAAAGTTCGCTTGCCAATGACCTTAATTGTGCTATTTACGTTGTATTTTCTTTAATGAAAAGAACCCTAAATGTCTAATAATAAGTAGATCAGTGGTTTAATAAATTCTGATAACTCAATAGAATATTATAAAGCTATTAAAATTATCATTTTTAAGATCACATGAAGAAGTGTATGTTAAATAAGTGTTAGGTGAAAAGCTAGTGGGGAGTTATGAATATTCTAGTACAAAAGTAGCTCTCTAAATACAATTTGTAGTTAAAAATCCTAAGTGATCTGAGAGGAAAAAGTAAAGGATGGTAGTTTTGTGTGATTGATATGGATGCATTTCTTTGGTAAACTTTTTAAATCACACATGATAAAAGAATAGATAAAGGTAAATATCTCCCACTTGGGAAATGCAAAGGTTACTATTTTTTTAAATTAAATTTTATTAATTTTAATGAACATTTACAGAGATTTTGGGTTTCCATTCATTCATTGTTGCACTATTTTCTCTACCCTCACCCCAGTTCATTCCTCTTTTTTTTCCCACTTGAAAGTCTGTTTTAATTGTCCCATTGCCACAGTGCTTGTCAAAGCCAGTTCTGATTAATCTCCTTTGTCAGTATGTCCTTTGCCATTCCCTATCACTCCTTCCTGAGAGAGACTTCACCCTGATTCATAAGGAAAAGGAGATGGCGTATTCCCTTAGCTACTTCCTGCTGAAAAGGG